AATCACCGGCGCCTTTCTGAACATGAATCCGCCATAGGCTTTCAATGTATTGAGGATATTACGTGCCGGCTTGAGCCACACTCTCGCTTATGCTACGTGGTGCAGTTTGAAATAAACAAGCGGGTCGCAGAAGACGCATCGTTACGAAACGCAGTGTTCAGAGGAGCCTGCCGTTGATCTCAAGATCGGTATATAGCTGATGGAAAGCAGTGGTATTTCCTTTCGGTATTCGAAAAGATGGCGCAAACGTCTTGTTCCCCCATTATTTGCATGCTTCACCAATAACACGAGTGAATACATTGCATTGTGTTCCAATTTTCTCAATCTCGGTGTGGCCTCCGCGCGGTCGCCCACAGAGTCAATTTTTTTCGAAGACTCTAAAAACCCTTTTGAGTCAGGCTCTGTAATCCCCTTCGATAAAGGTCCCAAAGCCTCTTTTGACTTTTCCTCAAATGCGAAATTCCTTTCGCTGCCTTTGTTCGCGGCCATTTCGTAAGCCTCTGTGACTGGCGCAGCAGTTTAGGTGCTTAGAGCATGATGGTCTAAAATACTATAGGCCCGTCTCCCCCGCAGATGTATTCAATGTATTTGTCATATTTTGTACACTTAATGCGAGTGATGGCGTAGTGGTTAGAGCATCCGCCTCGCATGCAAGAGGTCCGTGGTTCAAATCCCGGTACCGCGCAGTTTCCAACCGAATTAAAAAAAAAACCGCGTGCTGATGGAACTGCATTAAGAGGCCTGGGGTGCGGCCTCACAGGCAAACACCGCTGAGAACGCACTCCCTCACCAGAGAAGGATTGGCCACTCTGGTGCAGTATCTGGCCACTACCTCCCACATGCTTACGTCAAATAACTCACGGCTCTCAGTCCCCAGCAGCTGCGAAGCAACTGACCACGGCGGCGGTCAGATCTGCAACGCAGCAGAGGGTGCTAAGAATCTCTGGATCCGGACAGGCCGCCATTGGAACCTGAACTTGGCAACGTTTAACGCTAGAACCTTATCTAGTGAGGGAAATCTAGCTGTACTATTCGAGGAGCTAGAGGGTGTTAAATGGGATATAATAGGGCTCAGTGAGGTTAGCAGGACAGATGAGGCCTTTACGGTGCTACAGAATGGGCACGTCCTTTGCTACAGGGGCTTGGCAGACAGAAGAGAACTGGGAGTGGGGTTCCTAATTCACAGAAACATAGCTGGTAACATAGAGGAATACTATAGCATTAATGAAAGGGTGGTAGGTATCGTAATTAAACTGAATAAAGATACAAGATGAAGGTAGTACAAGCTTACGCGCCTACATCCAGCCATGATGACGCTTCAGTTGAAAGCTTCTATGAAGACGTGGAATCGGCAAGGAGTAAGGTAAAAACACAGTATACTATAGTGATGGCGACTTTAATGCAAAGGTAGGGAAGAAGCAGGCTGGAGACCAGGCAGTAGGAGATTATGGCATCGGTACTAGAAACGCCAGAGGAGAGCTACTAGTAGAATTCGCAGAACGCAATAATTTACGGATTTTGAATACCTTCTACCCGAAAACGAGAAAACCGCAAGTGGACATGGAGGAGCCCTAATGGCGAAAATAAGAACGAAATAGACTTTATAATGAGTGCAAACCCTGGAATCGTGCAGGATGTGGAAGTGATTGGCAAGGTACGATGCAGTGACCATAGAATGGTACGGTCTCGAATTCGCCTAGACTTGAAAAAGGAACGACAGAAACTGATACGCAAGAAGCCAATCAATCAGCTAGCACTGAGAGGGAAAGTACAGGAATTCAGAGTGTCACTGCAGAACAGGTACTCGGCTCTTAGTGAGCAAACCAACCTTAGCGTAGATACAATGAATGATAATCTGACGAGTATCATTACGGAGTGTGCAGTGGAAGTTGGAAGCAGGGTAGTTAGACAGGACACTGGCAAGCTTTCCCAGAAAACGAAGAACCTAATTAAGAAGCGTCAAATCATGAATGTGTCAAGTACAACAGACAAAATAGAACTGGCAGAGCTTTCAGAAGTGATTAATAGACATGAGGTATGCGATGTAAGAGGTATAACATGGAGAGAATTGAACACGCTCTGAAAAACGGAGGAAGTGTCAAAGCATTGAAGAGGAAACTTGGGATAGGCAAAAGTCGGATGTATGCCCTAAGGGACAAAGAAGGCAAAATAACTACCAATATGGATAGGATAGTAAAATAGCAGAGGAGTTTTACAGAGATCTGTACAGTAGCCGCGACAACCACGACCTTAATACTATAAGAAGTAGCAGTAACCCAGATTACACCCCACCAGTAATGATAGAAGAAGTCAGAAAAGCTTTGGAAAGTATGCAAAGGGGCAAAGCTGCTGGGGAGGATTAGGTAACACCACTATGAAGAGCAAAGTGTTGTTGAGGAGCACTCAATTCCATATTCTGTGTTCACCGCGGGTACGACGATTAAGTTTGGTAATATTCCATTGGTCGTACTGTCGTGCCTTCATGGATACCTGCGAACATGAAACAAAAGGAAAAAATTCATGTTAGTGTGAGCACCGATGACACTTGCTCAAATTTTACCCATGCTATGCATGTGTAACTTATCAAGCGAATTGTTTACGAACCCAAGACATGCTGTCACAATTTGTATAATTTTAAATGTTTCTCTCGGTAAAGCCGCTATGATAATTGAAATCAAAACATGTTACGCACACGACAATCAAAATGCATATAGTAAAGTTTATTGCATACTAGTAACCGCAGTTAAGGTAAGTACAACTGCACCGGGTAACAAACGGCTTCAATAAGGCGTCCAAATATTATGGGATGTACAAACAAAACCTGCATTACTAATTTCATGCTTCACTGTGTCGCCGCAACTAGCGATCCCTGATAATGTGACGAAATTCCTTTGAACGCTTTCTCACAACAACCTAACATTCAGCCACCACACATTACACCTCGAAGCCAGAATTTTCACCTTCGGGGCCTTGTTCGGAAATCTAAGACCAATGTAACGATGAAAATTAGACTATTTTTTCAATAAAGACAAAAGGCCTTGATTCATTTGTTCACCGTCCTCGTTTTTCTTTCTTTGTAAAACTAAAATACAAATAAAATTACATGTAGAATTTAACTATGTGAGATATAGAAAAAATGTTCCGCACACCACAACTACTACGAAGTTCTTCTCAACACGTTTGGCCGCATCGCAACGACTTTTATAAAATATGATTGTGGGTTCTTTTTCCCGCTACGACCGCCGTGTTTGGCTAAAAATGCCATGCAAGGCCATTGCCACTGTTATAAAAAATTCATATAATTCTTCGCTTAATAATTTATAATTATGTCAGTTCACGCTGGCAATGCAATGAGAATCAGTTTGCGAAAAAAAGGAACTCAATGAGCACGTGCTGCATCAGAAGTGAGTAAGCATAAAACAGGAAATCTACATAACGTAATACAAGATAATATTTACTTGCAGCGCAGTATTTCTTTTATGAACAAGCATGACTTCCCATCATAATATTGTTAAACTTTCTGGTAATTGATCTTTCGAAATGGACCCGTGATAACGCATGGAGAGTTTTTGATGCCAGTTTACATGCTCGGGGAAAATTAGACCAGATAAGTTTTATGAGCCTCCCTTCAACAATGAACGAAAACAAAGAAAATATCCTAGCAGTTACTAATATTTCGACAGCCTAAGGTGCCACTAAAAATAAAATATACAGCAAACCCGTGTTGCACCACAGTTACCTGGAAGTGTCTCGACGATACTTTTGTTTTCTATTTTATCTTCCCTAAAAACGGCAAAAAAGACCACTAAATAAACACGAGTGTCTTAGCGCGGAGCGTTATAGCGTCGTGCAGCTGAGGAGTGGGAACGGAAAATTGGGGCTTGCGATCGAAACGTAAAAAAAACCTGGAAGTGCTGTCGCAACAGCAGCGACCACCATCGACGTCGTGCTCTGCATGCTGCGAGCTTGAATCACCGGCGCCTTTCTGAACATGAATCCGCCAGAGGCTTTTGATGTTGGTTGTGATGTTGTATTTATAATTGAAGTGTACACATTCGTGACATTTTCATTATAAAGTTCTAAAAAATTAGTTTGTTATTCGATAAATTTGGGTTTCTTCACATATTCCTTGCTTTGTTTGTTATAAACCAAGTCTTGCAGACAGGTCTGTACTTAATAAAATGTTCATCTAACGTTTTTTCATAAGTTCTTATACAAATTGTAATTGTGGCTTCTTCTTTGTTAAAACATTTAAATTATGTGTACATTACTGTCCTTTGCGCTTTATCGTCTGGGATGGGTTACGGCACCTTGTCAGGCATTAATTTGTCCTTTTTGCCAACCGTGCCTCTTACTTGTGTCTACTGTACTTTGTGTACGGTACTTTGTACTTTGTAATGTATGTAGAATCTGTACGTGCCAGCTAGAGCCACACTCTCGCTTATGCTACGCGGTGCAGTTTGAAATAAACAAGCGGATTGCGGAAGACGCATCGTTACGAAACGTAGTGTTCAGAGGAGCCTGGCATTGGTCTCAAAATCGGTATATAGTTGATAGAAAGCAATGGTATTTCCTTTCGGTATTCGAAAAGATGGCACAAACGTCATGT